GGTTTCCGTTATCTGATATTTTTACTATATTTTCTTTATTAAAACAATATTTGTTGGCATCGCTACGCTCGTCTACTTTGCTTTGTATCTTGACCCTAAAGTGTGTTTTTTATTTTACCACCTCCGCAAAACCCCAAGTTGCAACTTGCAACGCTCGGCGGAAATATACTAGCACAAGTTACATAATTATATTATTGACCGCTCGTTATAGATGATCTGAAAATTAATACTTTTTATTGTAACCTTCCTAACCGCCCCGGCGATATTAATCATATCATTATACAAGAACGATAAAGGTTTTTTTCGGATGACAATATTATGTATAATCGACTAAACATATCCATTCAATTATTTTGGTATTATATATATTGTTGGAACTGTTTAACTACAATGTATCTTGTATATACAGGTAATTCCTCAACTTTCGGTAAAAATACCACCCCATGCAATGATGACATAATGAGTTTATAGATAGATATACATCATCATTGGGGTATGCATTTTTACCGAAAGTTTATTTAAACCCCTAAAGATTGTAAAATATGATGTAAAATTACTCGGAACAGCTACGTTTAGGTCCGAATATAGCTGTGACAAATTATCAGGTCCCTGTGCATGGTACTGGTTAAGAGGAGGGGGTCCGTGTAATCACTTCGATGTCGAATGAGGGACTTAAATATTATTCGAATTTGAATTTACTGGCTTTACCTTTTTATAGGCAGGATGGGAGATTGTGTAGTTCTGTGTGATGCTGTTCAACCGAATTTAAGTGTTCATGAATTATACTCTAAGACTTTTCAGATCTTTCGACAATATACTAAAGTTAATCTCTTTTCTTGTTTAAGAAATTAGGAAACAAAAATAAATAAAAGAAAGAACCACAGAGCTTTTCAAAATATTATTTTTTCTACCGGAAGGCGTTTTGGGAAGGGGAGCGGGGGCCCCAGCCCACAGCCCCCGCAAAGCCCCCTCCCCCTTATGGTTAATTTTATATGCACATTGTTTACCTTCAATTTATGCGCGCCTGGATGGAATATACATGTATATGACAAGCACCGGGATGTGGGAACCAGTATCACAGGATGGGACATATGTCTGCCATTAGGTGTGGATGATATTGATCTAAACCCCGTCTGAACGTGTAACATGTACAGTACTGTACACAATCAGGATAAACCAAACCTACATCCTGTATTATACTCAGTAAACCCTTGTGATGATCAGACATCAGACAGAAAGTGACGTACCATTGCAGAATATTAGATTATAAATAAGTTCGTGACTTCGCAAATCAAATATACGTCGGATATAGGTACTTCAAAAATATACACACTGCAAATCTGGTTCAAGTTATATAAAACAGTCAGAAACAAGGCGACCAGGGCCACTGGGAACATCATTCACAAACATGATGAGTCGCTTACAGGAAAAAATAGAACCGAACCGAAATAATTGTTTTGAACCTATATGTGAGTTCAAAGGCAGGTTTAAAGTGTAGCTTTAGACTTTTACATCTCGAAAAAGAAATTACCGATTTTTGTAGGATGAGATTGGCAGACTGAACTGAATGACGTCATCAAAATATAGATGAACAATAAGAAGTCAACGCGGCGGGAATTCTCTGGAAAATGTTTTTTTCGGGCAGTCCCCATTGCAATTGCGAATAATGGACAAGAAACGTCAGATCTTTGTGTTCTGCAATCATTGGTAGTTTACATATATAAAGAGTAAGCAATAGCTTTGGAATTTGGGTTTTAGTAGCTAGACTCATTAAAATATGCCATGCTAGGTACAATTTATATCACTTACGCGAAGGATGAACGTTTCAGGTGCCCCAGTAACGGCCGTACATTGTTAGGAAAGTGAATTATCAAACCTATCATGACTAATACTTGACACCGTTTCCCCTACATCCCCATCAGGCGCGTAGCTGGGTTGTTTTGGATGTGCATGCAGAAAGGCGCACCAGAGGTGCGAATGCGAGCGCCAAAGGCGCGAAGCTATTCTAGGGTGGTTCGGGGGCATGCCCCCCGGATTTTTTTTAAATCTAGAAGCTCTGTCGTGCCATCTGGTGGCATTTTAGATACATATTTAAGTGTTTTAATTTATTTTACAGAAAACATTTTTTGGTTGATTCATTTACTTTATTATTGGAAAGCATCGCAAAAATTCAAATGTATTTCAAATGCGAAAGACAGCTCTCCTTTTTTTTCTCCGACAAAAATGTGTCGATTGTTGGAATTACCCGAAATTATCCTTTGCGTTATATCTCTTTCCTGATGAATCTAAGTTAACTAGATATTTAAAATGTCGGAGCCAATATGAACAGATTAATTTCAGATTTTTTGCTGTTGTCCCACAAACCCTTTTTATATCATCAACATTTCTCAGAACATAAGCTGACGGTAGCTCCTATATCGATGTTTATATATATATGGGGCAAAGAAGTAATTCCAACAGTGTGGACAAGTTTAGGTTGTCAAATTTTCAGGGCGATCCCCTCCTTTATCAAGACACGGTGATGTTTATATATATATATATACATATATATTCAGTAGCTCTACTGAAGATAGGCCTTGAAAACATACTTGATCATTTCATGACAGGGACAAATGAAGGTCTATATAATGTCACAGATAAGCAAAAGCTACATGTACGTGGCCTTTTTCTGACTTTTGAGGCTTTGCCTTTTTCATATTACATTTGCAGGCGACGTGAATGTAAAACTCAGATGGATCCTATACGCGCATATATCCGCCCTAAAACCTATAACAATAATGCTAGTAACAAATATTCGGAAGACCTTTAATTGGTGAAAAAAAAATATACACAAAAATACATCCATTCCGGAAAAACAACCCGCCTCCGTTGACTTAGTTGTATTTCATTACAATCGCTTGTTAAAATGTTGCCGTGTATGGAATTTGAACTCGTGAGCTTTTTCCCCATCTTTTTGACAGGATAACGATATCCACCTTCACTTTACTTAGACGAATATCGGCCTCGCTTGTATTCCCGATAACAGTCAGACTGATCAGAACTGTGTTCGGTCGGTCCGGCATTACTAGTCTAATAGCCGTTTTAGACTCGTCGATGCCTAATTTAATGTCGCAAGAGGATGTTGTTTTATGTGAACCTACAGCTGCTTGGAAGAAGTCATGTTATTGTATCAACTTGTTCTTCGAAGATGAGGCGGGTTTTTCGCTGGCTTTGCAGTCATGTTTCCGCTGTTGACAACTTTAAAAATACTAATAATAAAATCGGCACCAGGTACCCTATGTTAGAACTTCCGGATACGTATACGTACTGATTGTCGGCTGTCAATCTGATTAAAATCATATGTTACATGGCTTCGTTAACTTCGTACTACGCCTGAACATCGTTCAGGCGGAGACATGTTACATATGATTTTAATCAGATTGGTCGGCTGTCGGTTATACAATTAAATTTAATATATTTTTCAATTGAACCACGCATCATTTAATTACTTTTCCGAACAACAAAACAAATAAATAAATAAATAAAGATATAATAGTATATTTGAATTTTTGATGTGCATTCAACTGCTTATTTGCTTTCGTGGCAGCTACGCGCCTGCCCATTGATTGGATCATACTCACGTAGAGGTCGGTAATTTGCATCTTCGCTAGCCAAGGGTTGATCCGGTACGAGTAGGTTAATCGTACCGGATCAGCCCTTGGCTAGCGAAGATGGGTAATTTGTGATATCATCGACTGTTAGACACCTCTCTATTCCATCCCCAAATCTATGTATTTACATATCTCCCTTTTCAGCTAAGTGAACTCTGACTTCGTATAAATTAGCGTCTCTCCATGAGCAAATTGTCAATGCGCGTACATGACAACCCTTACAAATAAATAAAAAAAATAGAATGACTTCTCACATTACTTAGTTTAAAATTCAAAAGTTATGAAAGGAAGAAAAATAGTGTTGTTCACTGTGAATTTTCTAAATTTACTGATATATCGATATAGATTAACTGGAACTTTATTATCCTAGCAACCACATCTACCGTAGTTACCATCGTAGCAACCAGCTTTGACTGATTTTTCCTGTTTATTGTAGCATTTCAACATTGTTTGGATGTACATATAAGGATTGACCGTCATTTTGACGGCGTATACGGTAGTATATGAACGCAGTAGGCAACGAACATATTATATATGGAGCGCTAACCAGCACCATAGACTATGTTCGTTGCCAACTGCGTTCATACTACGTCGTATACGCCGTCAAAATGAAGACCAATCTTTAAAAATCCCAAATTATTATTCAAAATACCTAAAACTTATTAAAAATCAATACAATATGGACTGAATAACTATTGTTTGATGATTTTTCTACTCATCCCATCCTTTCCTGAAAATATAAATAAATCCCCACCATCCTACTCTATTTTTTCATCATGTTACCTGAAACATACATTCATTTTTTTGCCTTACTGATTTTTTCCTGGCGATTTGCTTACGCTTCATCATGTGCGCTGGTGAAAAAGCATGATTTTACATCGCCAATACAACAACTAG